AAGTTTTGATGTTACATAAATAAACACACAAAATAATACAGTAGTTTTAACTGCATTGCATACAAACTACTGCATAAAAAAAATTTCTACTACTTTTTTTTTTGCTATTATAAATTATTATTAAACCTAATTTTGTTAGAACAATAAAAAGCATCATAAATATTATGGAACATACATAGACAAATGCAAAAAAGAAAACAAAAAATAAAATAAAATACAATGTTAAATAACCAAATACAAAAAAACTTTACACAGTAGTTTTAACTGCAATATACCGTGGTAAAAACTATAGTAGTATAAACTTAAATACATTTGAGACTGGCATTCTATTTTAATTATAAATTATTATTAAACTGAATTTTATTAGAACAATAAAAACATAATAATGTGGAACAAACATAAACAGACAAATAAAAACAATGTAGTATAAATGAATTAACGAACGAACAAACAAATGAATAAACTAATGAATGAATGAACAAACAAACTATTATTTATATATATTTATATATATTTTTTGGTATAAAACAGAAATAATGTGAAAAAAACAAACAAACAAACAGATAATTCAAAATAATGTATCAATTAATATATGAAATAACAAAAGAATGAACATATGAATGATTAATGAACAAACAAATAAATAAATAAATAATCAAGTTACCAACTGAATGAATTAAAAAAAAAAAATTCAATGCTATAAAAACATCATAATTAGTGTGGAACGAACATAAACAGACACATGAAAACTAATTAATGAATAAATTAATGAACAAATAAACATGAACAGACAAATAAAAAATATGAATTAATAAATAAATAAACAAATTAATAAACAAACCAATGAACAACTAAACAACTGAATGAGCAAACAAACGATTAATGAATTTTTCAAGCTATAATAGATAATGAGAAATAGACATGTGGATGTGTAAAAAATGTGGATGAATAAATACGTAAATTAATTTACAAACAAACAAATGAGCAAACGAATTAACAAATGAACAACTGTAAGAGCAAACAAACGATTTATGCTTTTTTCAATTGTGTAAAAACAATAAACAATGAGAAACAAACATGAACAAACAAATAAAAAAAATATATAAATGAATAAATTAATTAATAGACGAACAAACAAACAAACAAACTAATGATCAAATGAATAAACAAATGAAAAAAAGAACAACTGAATGAATGACCAAAAATTATTAATGAATGGTTCAATACTATAAAAAAACATCAAAAATAATGAGGAACAAACATGAACAGACAAATAAAAAAAATTATAAATGAAAAAATGAATTAACAAATAAACTAATGAACAAAAGAATGAACAAATGAATAAACGAACAACTGAACAAACAAACAAACAATTAATGAAATTTTCAATGCTAAAAATGCATAACAAAAATGACATTTGAATACAATATTCTAACAAACACATTTTAGCAAAAAGCGTTTAACATTAATGACACAATATTACATTCTGTGCGCCACTATTTTAAATAATTTATATCTTTTCTATGACAGAAAGAGAGACATTCAGTATGGACAACGCAATCTCACGGCAATTCGTAACTTTTTGATTTAGTAGCTAATTCGTATGAATTTGCACCATCTAATACGTACAATTTAGTACGATTTGCTCATCACCCAATGACGGTTGGGGTTAGGGGTGGGGTTGGGTGCCACGCCTCCTTTTTAAAATCGTACATTTTCATATGACTGAACGCTTACGAATTCATATGAATTAGCCACTAAACTGACAAAACGTAAAATATTACATTTTCTCGTGAGATCAGGCTGGATTGTATGATAGCATTAGTATAACTTTCATAATTTTGAGCAATCACAGCTTTCAAACGACTGCTATTGGCTAAACATCATTGGCATATTTAAGAATGAAACAATGGCCTCTCAGCAACTCAATAGTTGTTAATAATGTTGTCCATCGACTCCTCCAGTGAAGTTTTCCTGCGTCCTCTTAGCCTCTTCTACCATTGTTCTTTCAGAGGTTATAAAGTGCTCTTCAGAAGCCTTTGAAAAGGCCTGGCTGCTCTCGTTTCACATCACGTCCTCGGAGATATAAATTTCAGACACAAAATGCAGCGACTTTAATGCATGCCTGCCACGCTGAATTTAATAATGCAAATGTGTTTATAGGGGTTGAATGGACAAGGCGCATTAGTCAACGTCGCAGTGGTGAAAAAGATACCCGCGGATTTAATTATTATTTTTCCGATCTTGTCTATGGAGGAGACAGAGGCACAGCTGTCGAAGGGGTAACGGAGAGTTTACAGTCGGGTTTGTTTTTTTGATGAATGCAGTTCATTTTTAAGAAGACTGGTTTCGGCTGCTGCAGCTGACAACTGCAAACACTTGTCAAGATTCAGCTTTATCCGACTGGAAATAACCTCTGACAACCCCAACCAGCGGCTGACATTTTAGGGCTAAAACAAACAAAAACTGAAGCAGCACAGCTGTTATACTTGATATATTTGCAGCAGATACTCAGTGTTTGTGTTTGTGTGAAGGAAATGATTAAAACTATATCTTACTGAGTGTATTTTCCCATGGTATAATGTATTTCTATAGAATAGACAATATCAGAAATATCAAAAAATTGTGTGTGTGATTTGTATTTGTACAATTGTGTATATTAGAGTGTTGGTTGTTAGTTTAAGGCTAGACACCTGAGTTGGGACAGTGGGTAAAGGACACACCATGTAAGACTATGAGTGATATCACCACATAAGCTCAGGACTATTTTGGCAAACCTTTGTCAAGTACCACAATACGTAGTTACTTCCACAAACGCCAGTTAAAATTGCACTGTGCCAAAAGGGAAGCCCTATGCTAACAGTGTCCAGAAGCCTCACCGACATCTCTAGGCATCTGAGATGGACCATCACACAGTGTAAACGTATGTGGTCAGATTAAAGAGTTTTTCATGTATATTGTGGGGGAAATGCACGTCGTGTGCTTTGGACCAAAGAAGAAAAGAATTATGCAGTCCAAAAGTCAGGGTCTGTCATGGGGTTGTGTCAGTGGTAACTTGCACTTCTGTTATGGCATCATTAATGTTGAAAAGTACATAGAAATTTTGGAGCACAATATGCTGCCCTCAAGAAGACATTTTTTTTCCAGAGGAATCCGTGCCTATTTCAACAAGGCAATCCAAAACTACATTCTACACACATTACAAAGTCTTGGCTGTGGAGGAAGAGGATACATGTACTTGACTGACCTGCCTGCAGTCCCAACCTGTCTCCAACAGAGAATTTGTGGTGCATTTTGATGTGTTTATTTTCTTCTTAAGTGTAGTATTTATTTTATTTAATTTTATTTATTTTTCAGCATAGTCCCTTTATTTTATTTTATTTTGTTTTGTTTATTCTTCAATGTAGTCCCTTTATTTTATTTGATTTTATTTTATTATTCAATGTATTCCCTTAATAATTTATTTATTATTTTACAAATTTATTAATTTTTATTAATTAATAATTTTATTTATTTATTTATTTATTTATTTATTTATTTATTTATTTATTTATTTATTTATTTTTTATTTTATTTTATTTTATTTTATTTTATTTTATTTTTTTTGTTTAGATAATTCTTCAGCATAGTCACTTGTTTTATTTCATTTCATTCTTCAACACTGTCTCTTTATTTTATTTATTTATTTATTTATTTAGCATAGTCCTTTTATTATTTTATTTTATTTTGTTTTATTCTTCAGTGTAGTCCCTTTATTAATTTTATTTTATTTTATTTTATTTTATTTTATTTTATTTCATTTTATTTTATTTTATTTTATTTTATTTTATTTTATTTTATTTTATTTTATTTTATTTTATTTAATTTTATTTTATTCTTCAGTGTAGTCCCTTTATTAATTTTATTTAATTTTATTTATTTATTTTTTTTATTATTATTTTTTTATCTTCATCGTAGTCTCTTTATTTTATTTAACCGTCTTATTTATTATTATTTTTTTTTTTCATTTAATTCAATTTCATTTTATACCTATATTTATAGTTTTGTTTCTTGGACAGGACTTCCATCCAACCTCAATGATAATATATATTGTCATACCATAAGACTGGGCCATTTATGAATTCATGTGCATGCT